CCTTATGAATCTTCCCAGTTTTTCTCACCATACATGGAAGATCCATTGTAGGTCAATCTCTCCACCACCGCAAATTAGATTTTTCCAGGTAAAACCATTCCCAAAGACCCAGCTCTCCCATGCTGTCTAGTACTTATCATCCATTACATACAAGTAAAGGCTATTTACTCTTCTGCTCATCCCCTTCTGTCCCTATCCTCTTTGTCCCTATCCCTCTGAACCTTTTCCATCACAGCTTTGCTTGGGTATTGCTCTAATTTGTCTTTGAGGAAGGATAAAGATGAAACATGATGTTGTAAGTAAGACACTGGAAGAACTTTATTGAGATATCATATCCGGAGTTCACCACAGCTTTCCTGTGAGGCTGCAGGAGAAGTATTAATTTCAATGAAATCCAAGTTTCACTGGAGTAACAGCAACCCTCCTCACTAACTTTCCCTCCAGTGAATTTCCACATCTCTGAGGTTTCTTTCCTTTTCATCAGAAGAGCCAGTGTAGCCTGCAGCTGCTACAGGCAAGGGAGCTGGCTCTTACCTAATCCAGTGGGACAGGATCTTTTCATAGATCTCACTGTGATAATTTCAAACAATTTAACATTTAGCAAATTCATCTTATAAATATGACCTGTATGTATAAAATTGTTTGCATTTGATAAATGTCCTTGTTGCCAGCCATTGAATTTCACTTTTCTTCTGAAGATCTGATCCTGCAAATACTCAAATGCAAGAATAATTTGTGATCAACCATGACAGCATCTATGGGACTATTCAAAGGACTCCATGGCTGAATTGTGTGTAGGTAACACCATATGTATTTCACATACTCAGCTACTGATACAGCTTTAATGTTCTCTAGGAACTGAAGAGGTAAGCTTATACAGACTTATTCATTCTATCAAGATACTGATAATTTCTCAGATGATCCACAAAATACCAAATATGATCATCTGAATTAGCTAGCAGTTCAGGAATATTGATTTTAAATTGGCCTAGATAGGCTTCAACCTGAAATACATTAACTGTAATCTGCCTGCAATAGGGTACTAATAAATAGCCTGAAATCTCTAAGTTGGCATTTCATTGTTAATGAGCTAGACAATGCATGTTTGTCATCCGGAAGTATCCTGGTGTCCCTAAATATCTTGTGGTTTTTGTGTTGGCTCTGTTGGTTTTAAGATCATTAGGTACTGTAAACAACATACAAGCAAACACATTAACTATAATGTGCTAAGAAACAGTTCTAGCACACAGAGAAAAATCACTTCCTTCAAGGCTAGGGAAAACCATCTCTGGCATGAAACAGTGACTGCTGGTCATGGAATTTTACAAAGTGTTTTAGTATCTGTCCCTTTTTCAACCACAAGAAGACAGCAGACTTTCTAATGCATTTTAACAGCAATGCCATTTTTAGGAATATATTAAATAATTAACACTAGTGTACATGCTGTAATTTGCTAAATGCTTTTCAGCTGTACAGAGACAGAGTTCTTTCCAAAACAAAACTAAAAATTAGCACCCAAATGCTAATTAGCAGAGTAGAAGACACATTCTTCTGACCTTCTGTCAAATAAAGCTTTCTTCACTGCTTGTGCTGCATCCCTCTTCCTGTGGCTTACAGTTCAACCATTTAGCTTACTTCTTGTTTTCTACAGAAAATGAATTTGTTTTCTATGTCATAGCATCTTTCTCTTTCTAGCACAAGCACATTGTATTTAAAAAATTATATAATACTCTATTTGCATTTTTAATATGTTTTGTTTATTTTAAAAACCAAGAGCTGATTCTGCACATTACTGATGCAGAAAGCATAGTAATGGAAAAACAAACCCTTATTTGTCAGCTGAAATAATGCGTGTATTCAACCAAATTTTTCCTTTTAAATTAGAAATTAGAAAGTTAAATGTACATGCTAAAATAAGCTAAAACAAAAAGAGGAGGTGACTAGTGCACTAATCTCCATTTAGTTGGATACCTAAACTTGACATGATTATTGTGGGACCTGGATGTTAAGGTCTAGGAGAATACTTTGAAACTCAGGATTTTAGTATTAATTTAATTTCCAGCTGAATCCTTGAGTTAGGTAAGGGATAGAGAGCAAGTGGTGAAGAGATATTTTTTTAAAAAAAGTCACCAATGACCTTACAAACTGCTGAATTTCATAACAGTCTCAGGTCAGACATGTAGTCTTGATTATTTATTTAGTAATTCACATGTAAATGTGTAATTTACACATGAAATTCACATGAATTCACAGTAATTCACATGAAATCCCTTATCTTCAATAATGTTTTAATGTTAATTTCATAGCTTGCATTCTTGTAAAGTGTTGGAACATTTATCAAGTCACCTTCAAATGTTTGGCCTTTTGACAGGTTTGCACAAGTCCTCAGTGAATATCATACACCTTCACATAGATACAGGATACATATCCATGGAGATAATAGATGGAAAGTTCACCAACATATGCATGTTATTATATCAATCAATTTAAAATATTTTGATTTAAGCAATTAAATAATACTAGTATGTAATGCAACAATCTCAGTATAACAGTTCTTGCACTTTTACACTAAATGTAACAGAAGACTGCAGCCCTGATAGTAAAATGCTTGGTCCTATGAAGACAGAAATAAAAAAATTTACTAGCTTGCTGATAGTTTGATTCAGAAGCCATGAGATGCATGAAAAATCTGATTTTCGAAACCTATGGGAAAGGCAGTGGAACAGGCAACTGAGATGAGGCTTCTGCGAGAGTAGTGCTTCCAGCTCTGCAGCCCATGGTGGACTGAATCATCCTCCTTAGTGCATTGAAACAAAAAAAAGTAAAAAGATAAAAAAGGGGGAAAGAGGAAGGGAAAGGGAAAGAGAAAAGCCAACCAGATAGGCCAAAGGTCAGCAGTTGTCTTGATTGTGCTCAGTGCTGGTGGTTTTTGCATCAGGCCACTTCTCCTCTATTGGGTTTGTCCATTTTCCTCTTATGTAGCAAGGAAACATTTGGGTTTTCACTATGAAACAAAAGTTACTGGTGAAACTGTACTTTCACTAGTAACAAAACTAAATGCTACAGATTATTTACAAAAGCAAATAAAAAGGACCTTAAAAAAAAGAAAGAAAAAATATGTGGGAAAGAGCATTCAGAAGTGGAGTCATTGCCAGGCAATGGCCAGAGAGTAACCTAATTCTCTGGAATACTTTACCTGTGCTTTGGATGTGATTCTGTTAAGGCAAAAAAATGACTTGAACCATTCATTTCATTGTAGATTCTAAAACGATTTTATCAAACAACAGATTTCTCCTGCCAACTGTATTTGGCAAAAAGGCATAAGTGAAATCAAATGGTTTTCTTGCAAATTACAAATACATAGACTGAAGCAGAATAAATTTTAGTTTCAAACTCCTTTCTTAAAAGAAATTTTGGGCTTACACTCTTTGGTCTTGTAACATATTAAGAACAATAAGAGATTAATTTTAATACAACTTCGTTTCTTGGATAAGAAGACACATTTTATTTTCATCCAACCCAATTCAGCAGCAGCTAGGGCAGAAAAAAATCCTGTATTCCAGAGGACTGCCCAGTTACTTCAGCCTCATAATTTCTCCCCCAACTGGCCTCCAAGCCCCAGCTAACAATGCTGGCTTTGCTCATGGTGCAAACTAGTGCAGGGTAGGGGATGCCTGATGGGTACATAGAATTAAAAACCCCTTTTCCCATAAAATGCTGTTTTTTCAAATAGTGTTGTTCCCATCTGTGTAACAGTTTTTATTCTGCATGTTTAAAAGTAAATCTGGAAAGACTTTGTAACTAGGTTTAAATACTCACTAATTAACTAGAACTAGGCTTATATATCCACCTCTAATTATTGCATGATTAAAATAATAATGGTAGGCTTTTTGGACTAATCAAAGAGAAATGAATGTTTAACTGAACATTTCACAAATGTTTCATATCAATCAGCAAATAAAAAACACTTGAATTTTTATTACAGTATTTACTTGTGTTACTGAGAGCTCTTTAAGGTACCAATGAATATAACAAACACATTTATTTACAGCACATTTGCTCTCACTAGGATGGAAGTGTGCACAGGGAAACAGAAAGTGTTCTCTGGGATGTCTTAATAAAAAAATATGTAAATAGTTGGGAAAACAAGAACAGCAGCATATCACAGCAGCAAACTTCTAAAGGAAACCTAAATTGTTGCTGGTGGGTTTTTCCCCTATTTAAATAGACAGGTGAAAATTCCCCTTTAGGACAGTGCATGCAGAGCAGCCATGGTTTCTGGAAGAAAATTGCTGTACAGGCTGGCTTCCAAAAATACTGTGGCTATAATACAAAATTAGATAGCAAGTATGTGAATAACAAAACTGAAATCCCTAAAAATAATTAGATTCATTTGATAATTGCATGAATGCAAGATAAATATTGTCCTTTTAATTTGTGCTCTGACCACTGAGGATGCAGTTTTATGAACAGCTTTCCAGTAGCATCTGGATCTATGCAGTGACTTCTCTTAAGTTTCTGGATAATTTGTCAGATTACATTTCAGGTGGATTAAACCCCCAGCCCAGATCACCAGTCACCCACAGTAAACAAGTGTTTATACAGGGAAAAACCTAAGGGGAGAGAAAGTAAATAAAGGTGAAAAGACAGATTTTCTACTGGCGTAAAGTACAGCATCACTTTCCTTTCTTATTTTTCTTAGAGATGCTCAAATTCCTGTATAATTGCATTCTTTTTAGTGCTGGAGAGCTAAAAAATCACAGCAAAGGAACCAGACTTGCAATAACAACATGAGCAGGTGTGGCTCAGTGTTCAGACTCCTTACCTAACAATCTCTCCAAAAAATGCAATTTAACTCTAGAAAGACATACCAGTTAATGCAGCCTTATAGTAACCTGCTGTATGGTTCAGATAATCTATTTGAAATCTGAAGTGACAGATAAGACCTCAGTTTGTCACATCTTCCCCTACAGGTGTGTGAAGAAAAAACCAGAACTCACCATTATTCACCAGGACATGGAGTGGACAATTCTTTGCTCTAAACTGCTGCACAAATCGCCGTATAGACTTCATGGAAGCCAAATCACAGTATAAAAACTCCACTGGGAGAGAAGAGGAGATAAAAACAGAGTTAAGTCACTTACAATGATATAAAACACATAGACATCAACAAGGACTCCTGTGATAATGTCGCTAGTAGAATAAAAGTTTTAAAAAGAAAACAGACTTTTCAAAATCCTGGGTGGAGCTGGTCTCAGATTCTTTCTTTCTCCTTCTTCCCTACATTTCTATTTTTAAACTACTGATTCTTCACAGAGCAAGTATGGGAAAAGTGGCTGTCAGGAGGTGAAGGAGGGCATCAAATGAAGTAAATATGCACCAGTCCTACTGTTCTTACTTACTACTGCTACCATTTAAGAAGAGGAGCTACAGTGCTGCAGCACTGAGATGATCAGGATATGGCAGCTGGAAATCAAATGGGGAGAGGAGAAGGCACATCAGACACTGCAAGGTTTCCCTGTGCTTCTGATGCAAATATGCTGTCCTTTGTTTTTTCCCCAAGATTATCTGCTAAGTACCTGTGGTTGGAATAGTTTATAAATGCTTTATTGCCAGTAGGAGAGATGAACAGCAGTACACCCTGAACACAGCAACTCCACTGATCACTACAAGCAAACAGAGCATCATAAATAATGCTGTGGCTCCTATAGGCATCCAGGGACATTTGGTATCCTGGGAACAACAACCAGCCATGAAAATACTTTGTAAATGTGGGTAAGAGTTGTGCTGGCCCTTGGCTTTGGCAATGGCAGTGTGATTTGAGAGGAACAGAGCTCACACGAATATTGTGGGGGGCATCCTGCCTATGCTGCTGATGTCAGTCGAAGGGCAGGGTGGCAGGGGGCTGGAAATCCAACAACCAACAAGATTGCTCAAGGGGCAGGGTGTCAGTCTCAAAATATATTTGGTACCAGTATGTCTGTATTGCTAAGAAAACACGCATCAAACAGGTGTCTGTCTTTTTGTCCAAAGCATTACTCAGCCATTGACCTGCACTAAAATGCTAGAAAATTTATTAGTCAAAAAAAAAAAAATTACTAAAATCCCTCAGCAGCTTTAAACCCATCAGGTCTTAAAATTCTCCTACTGCAGTTGTTCAGCTTTCAAACCCAGGCTCTCACAGCACTGCCTCATTGATTGCCTTGCCTTGCATGAAGCCATGGCCAGAGTTATGAAGTGAAAAGAAGCACTGCCCCCTGCCAACAGCAGTAGCTGTCCCCACACAAACAATCCAAATTCTTTAGAAGCTCTGCAGAGGGAAAAAGAAAGAAAATTATGACCTTTTCCGACTGTTTTAGCCTTTAAAAAAAGTATGTTTTGCATGCCAGGCTTTTGGCTTTTTTCAGCATTAGCTATGCTTTAAGGAAGTGAATATGATGCTCTGCCACAGATATTGGTCTCTCTTCTGGTTTCCTACTTGTCACTGTGGGAGCCCAAGTCAGCCAACTGTTGTGAACTCCACCCTGCCAAGACACTGGGGCTCTGAGGTGGATTTGCTTGAACCTCCTCCATAAAGTGACTTTTCTGAGGAAGACCAAAATGTGTTTCAAATTGAGAAAATCAAACAATACCGAGCAACCTTCCATGGCTAGGTCCATCCGAGAGAAAGGCAAAGGCTGTACAAACCATCTCCCCTAGTTTGCTGTGTCCTTGCAGGGTGAGCCCTTACTGTCCCGTTTCGTTTCAGAGAGCTCCCAGATTTCCCAAGCTGCGGCAACCTCTGCACAGATGCTGTCTCCAGGATGGTTTTGGCCACCACATCAGAGGACTGGGGTTTCAGAGGCTCACCATGTTTTCCCCCCTCCCTGCTGCCCTTCCTCCTCCTGGCCCCAGGGCTGCTGCCCTGTGCTCCACAGGAAGGAGCAGCCACCCCCTTCCTTGCACATGGGTTCCCCACCTCCTCTTATGAAAGAACCAGCCTTTGAAAGAAGGGGAAATTAAAGAGATACAGTTCTTCAAAAATGCCTTTCTGATAGGAGGATTAAACTATTGGATAAATAGGCTCCACTGCAGGCTGTAATATGGGACCTTTCTTCTTACTCTCTTCCCTGGTCCATCAGGGATGTTCATCCTCTCCCTACCAAGGCTCTGAGCTATAATGCCTCTTTACAGCATGTCACTACAGTAAGAGATTAGGAAAGCCTGCAGGCACAACAACGAATAAATAAAAAAAGATATTCACAACTGTTATTTAATTCTTTCCAGGAGAACAGTTTCTTTAGTTCCCTTAATACGAAGCTCCAACAATTCTTATCTATTTGGAACCTAGACAGTATTTGTCCTCTGAAATTGTTGTATTAATGTGTATAAATTATTCAGTGGCCATTTTCACTAAACAAACAAACAAGCAAGAATTCTTAGATTCCACTTATAAGATAGTGTAAATACATTTTTTTTCACAGTGGCTCTAAAGTAATACCATTTCAACAACACTGTCCCATGAATAGAAGTAGACAATTTCTTGATCTCTCTGTAGACTTTTTGGTGCTCAGCAATTTTCTTTAATTTCACATAAGCCTTGCACCTGGAGATGGTAAGGAAATGTAGAAGTTTTTAACTTCTGTCAGTGTTGCTCAGGCCATTCCACCTGTGGCCTAACTGCTGTATAAAACCGCATGAATGGCACTGTAATTGCTTAGATATCCAAAACCTGGTCATAATAAATTATCAATAGTTAGTGCAACAATGAGTGGAGTGAAGACCTAGATGAAGATTTATGCTGACTGTGCTGTTGTTCTACTTCATTAGGCAGCTCATCAAGGAAAGAGATTAGGAAAAGCATGACCTTCTTCTTGGGAAGCAGTCACACTGCCAATGGAGGAGTCCCTTTCAATACAAAGATATTTATGCTGATACAGGAGGCATTAGGTCTTCATCAGCCATGGTATTTTGTGGCACAGTGCAGGCTCCAACCACTTCTCCATCACCAGTATGGACTCTGACAACATTATTGACTCTATTGCCACTACATATGCAAGAAAAGCAGACCTCTGAGGACATCCACTAAGATAAATTTTAATCACTTTCCTTATCTGGCCTTGCACTGCCAGCAAGAATGGTGGTTAGACAATGTGTGCCAAGAGAGTGCTTTTTAGCCTGACCAATGCAGTCTGATCCTTCCTGATAATTAACTTTTTGCTGCAGCTGTCTGATCTCCCCTCCCTTAATTTTCCGGTTCTGCACAACAAATGCTGTCCTTCATTATGACTGTACAGTGCCCAGACTAATGGCACACTGGGCCAAGGCTATCATTACTAAACTTATTTACTTGCTTCCTTGGGAAGCATGTCATCATATTCGGCATTTGTAAAGCACGTGCCATCAAAAGATCAGAACATGCTTCGGAAAGGAAACAAACAAACAGACAAACAAATAAACCAGCCCCCAAACTTTTCTCTCCGCTCACAGGGCCAGAGTCCTTGTTGGTGCTGATTCTTTGCCAGGGAGGCGGATCTGCTGGCGCGGCACCGCGCGGACCGAGGCGCCGTTCCCCTCGAGAAACTGTGCCAAAATGTGCTCCCAGCCGCGTGCTGACTCACAGGCAGGGCTTTGAGCAGAAATTCAAGTTTCTTCTCCATCCCATAGTGATTTTTTTCTATCAGTTTTCTGGAGAATTACAAATTGAGAAGCTAAGAATGATGGTAAGTTTTTAGACTATTTTGAAGTGTGCGCAAATATACTAAACACAATTTTTTTTTGATGCCTTAGTTAATAAAGACCAGGGTTTTAATAATGTGAGCAAAGGACCAAACTGGATTGTGAACTAGGAATTTAACTAGAATTACTTCAGGGAAGAAAGAATGCCAATATTTATCCATATAGGCCAGGTATGAGCAAAAAGATGTGCATTAACAGCGAGAAAACTGAAACATGCCAAAATTCTTGTCTTTTACCACAACAGTGGCCTTTCTGCTTTAGAGTTTAATAGTCTTATAAGTTTTCAAAACGACCTAGTTATTTTCATTTTCTGTATGCTATTAAGTACAAAAATAGAGAGTAGAAGATACAAACATAATAAGCTACATACAGAATATCTGCAGCTAATGCTACTGAAATACTCAGATTTCTAACTCTACCCCATTTTATCTCTCCTTTTCCTGAATTACTTGCTTTCAGGTACTTCTGTAGTGACAGACATGCCCGTATTTCTTTCTTCACACACGCTGGATGCGTCCCATGTTCTTATCTAAATAATTTTTCCAATGAAAGTAAGTACATCCATAATTGTCAGACACTGGCTAAAATTTTCACTCTTAAAAATATTTTCCTATTCTTTTATTGTAATTTGATGACTCAGTTGTCAGAGAGTTATTAGCAAATGAAATACAGAAGGAGCAAAATTTCCCAAAAGACAGCCAGAATTACTTATGCTATTAACCACATATGAATAGATATATATATGATGGTGCTACAATTGCTGCTTTCCTTAATTGCCTTCTTTCAAATGTATCTGCCTGGTGCAGCAACTTTTCAGCCACAGGGAATCAGCACAATGTTTTCTGGCTGCACCTCACGAGGCACATAGAGACCCCACAAAGCCACGCTGGCTGCCACGTGTGGCACTGCAAAGCACATGTGCAATGCTTGCTCCTGCATTTTACTCCCCTTGCTTGCTTGGTCATGGTTACTAAAAGGAGAGAGCCTGAATGAGTGGCATCTCCTGGAGAGCTTTTGACACCCTGAGCTCCATGAAATCCAGGAGGATACCCAGTGTTAGGAAAGCCTGACACAGCCCCTGAGTGCTCACACTCCCTGGAGCTTCCCCTTCAGGGCCAACGTCCCCATTTCTGTCCTCCTGCTTCTTCACACTATTACCACACCTTTCTTCACATCCAGAGTTCCCTCCTTTGCTTTCCACACCAGCACAGCTGACTGTGACTGCACATTTCCTCTGTGTCTGTATCACAGAGCAGAAAAAGCATGAAATGGGAATTTCAGTCTGGTATGGAAGGAAAATTCAGAAATAAAAAAGAATGGACAGATATTTCAGTGAATGACTGTAACTTCTGAGATGTTTACTGATCAGCTGAACAGAGGAAAA